CGCGGGGAGCGCAGACGGACGGCACCGCCAGACCGAAGCCGGCCGACCCGCGGCGGGCAGCGGGGCCCGTTTGGCACCGACCCGGACCCGGACCCGGCGGGCGGCGGACCGACGGCTGGCCGGCCGGCCCGGGGGAGGGCAGAGCTGCAGCCGGGCACGGAGGAGCGGGCTCTGGGGGGTCGGGAACACAGGACCGGCCAGAGAGAGGGGGCTGGTTCTGCAGCCAGCCCGGAGGCCAGCGGGGGATGGACGGGCGGGTTTCGGAAAGATGGAGGGATGGGCGGATGGACCAGTGGATGGCGTTTCAGACGCACATGGTGGGAGGGCAGGGCGGGTGCACAGAAATACCAGCGGTCTGAAAGACGGGTGGGAAAGCCGGCAGATGGCTGGAGGAGGACGGAGGGAGGGAAGGGCAGATGGAAGCACAGTTGGATGTGACAGAGATGGCAAGGGGAACCGCTGGCCAAATGGATGAAGAGACTGGAATGCCCGAGAGTGCCCGAAGGGAGGGCCAGACTGACACGAGCCAGGAGCCACTGACTTGGGCATGAGGTTGTGAGGACTCAGTTTTGCGTTCCTCACGGTGAGCACATTTCCTAACTCAGCTAATTTTAAGGGAACACAGCTCCCATCCCACCCTTTCAGGGCCACCAAGTGTCTATAGTAAGGGACTAAGTCTGGCCCAGAGTGTGCCCAAGTTCAGAGGAAGGTTCCCAAAGTCAGCCTAAGTCCCCAGACTTGCCCCAAAGCACCTGCAAGGAAAGAGGAAACCGGGCACTCTTGAACACAGAACCCTCTGCTCTCTGAACTTCTGAAGACAGAGGAAATCCCTGTGGCTGTAAGATTCCTGGGTCCAAAGAAAAAGGAATCCTCTTGGCACAGCTCCTTGGGGGCTGTGAACACATGTCATAACTGGCATGGGCATGGATGCCCTCTTGAAGCTCGAATTTTGGTTAGTCCCTTCCTGCCTGTAGCAGCTGTGGATGGAGAGTTCCATCCTCTCAGATTTTCTACCTGACCTAGCAAGCTCTTAGCTTGAGCATTCACTGGGATGGACTAGAACAGGAGCTGTAAGACCAGATAGGTTCAAGGATTGTAAATGCCTATTGTGAATCCCAAGGTAGGTGCCTTGCCTAAAAGGTATTCAAGTTCAGATAAAATGACAAGCTAAATGAGACCAATGCTTTGTGATCTCTGCTTCAAACATACTTTATATACAACATATGATGCTGAAAGCATTGACATACTAATAAAATCCTCTGGCTCTGAGATCCCAGGCTCCTTTTGGTTAGATGCAGGGGGTTTTTTTGTGTGTGTTTTTTCCCTTTTATTTTTTTCAAGAAAAAGCACATGTGGTATTGTTTAGGCTGTTCTGAGTATATTAATTCTTTTAATCCTAACAGCAATCCAGTGAGGAAGGGACTATTTTATAGATGAAGAATGCAGAAGTTAAATTAATCCCAAAGTCACACTGCTAATAAGTGATATAACTGGGATAGAACCCAGAGTCTAGGTTTTTAACTGCCAGGCTCTACTGCCTCTCTAAGTGGAGAATGAACAGGTCCACATAGTAAAAATAAGGCAGTGAATAGTAAGTCTCCCTCCCACCCAAGGCTGTCAATCTTCCTGCCCAGAGGAAACCACTGTTAACAGTTTCCTTCCAGAAAAATTCAAGTAGGCACATAAAAGTGTGTATCTAGATACAGAAATTGTATACCTATCTATATCTTTTATAAGAGAAATAGAAGCATTTTATACCACTGCTGTACCTCTATGTACTTAACATTATGTATTTGAAGATTTTTTTTTCCATATCAAAACATATACTTTTACTTCAAGGGCTACAAAACAATCCATTGTAAAGAAATAATATAATCTTATTCACTAGCCCTCAAGACTTATGTGGTTTAGTCATTTTCCTTTATAAATAATGCTATCATAAGCATTTTTATATTCAGTGTCTTTCTTCAGCTGCCCAAGTTTATTTCAGAATAAGTTAGGAGAAGTAGAATTTTGGTCTGCATTAAAAAAATTTGACACATATTGCTAAGTTATGGTGCAAAGTGGTTACATGAATTTCTATATAACTGATTTAGAAGTAATGGTTGATTCTGGAGTTATGTTTATTAAGTGATAGTTATCTTCATAAAATTCTGAGGTAGGAAGGCACTTTTTGCCTTCTAATTAGATAAGGACTTGTCAAATTGTCTAGTCTAGCTTCTTCCTTCTGTCCTTCAACAATACTGTCGACAACAAAGGGTTAGCTTAAAAGTTTTATCTGCAGTTTCTAAAAGAGAGTAAGTACCACATGATAAATTACTTCCAGAATTTACAACAAGGATCTGTCTGGCAATTTTTCCTTATTAAATAACAATTATGTACCTCCCTCTTTTTGCTTTGGCTTCCAGGATGCTCAGAATTACATCTGATGCCTAATCAGAACACTGGTAATAACCAATGAAGCAGCATCAGTATTTTTATATTAACTTACTCCTATATTTATTTTAATGACCTAACTGCACATATGCATCTTACACTGTGAACCCCTCAGATCCATTTTGGAAGGAGGTGATGTACAAAAGCATAACATTTAAATGACCTTAAGATTAATAAAACAGGTCAGGCAACGTGGCTAGGATGAGAGGCAAGCAGAGAACAATGGGCCTAATTTTCATCCCCTTCCTGTCTGAAATGTGTAAGAGACTTAACTATTGTTACTGCTCTTCAGACTCCTCCTTAGAAGATAAAAAATTAGGAGAATTCCCCTCCTCTTCCCCACTTCACAACTGAACAGCAGGAATTAGAAATTCAGGGTAAAAAGGAAATGTGGAGATTATCGCAGCGAGCCCCCCATTTTACAAATGAGGAAACTGAGGCCCAGAGAGGTGAGGTGACTTACCCGAGGACACAGCTCTGGGAAATGATAGAGGCAGGACTAGAATGCAAGTAGCTTGAGATCCAGGCCAATGTGCTCTCCCACTGGGTAATGCGCACCTCAGACGACTTGGGGTAGCAGGAGGGAGGAAGAGAAGGTGACCCCACAGCCCCTAGCAACGAAAACAACAAAAAGGACTTGAGGCATTCATAAATAATTAAGCAATTAGCTGCAGTAGCTACTCCCCTCCCCTCTAGTATCCAGTCACCAAGGCAACTTGGGCAGGGTGCCTGCTGGTTGCCTAGTAACAATGTGGTCTGCTCCCTTGACATGCTCCCTAGGCATCAAAGGATTTGAGAGCTGAGAAGAGCCTTAGATGGGGGTCCCTATTCCAACACCTTCATTTTCCATATGGGGAAAGAGAGGCTCAGAGAAGCCGAGTAACCTGCCCAAGGTCACACAGCTACTCAGAGGCACAACTAGACTGCATTTCCAGTTGCTTTCCATTGCACTAGGGCTGCCTTGGGGATGCTGCAGATGGAGGAGAGGAGATCTTTTCGCAGTTCCTAGAAGAATGAGAAAATAAGAGCAAGCCAGCCAGCAAGCAAGAGACAGAGACCTTGAGCTCTCATATGCAATTAGCAGGAGCTGGTAATCCCATCAGCCCAACTTCCATCGTCACCATGGCAACATGGGTGAGGCGGGTACTGGTTGCCTAGGAACCAGTGGTCCTCTCTCTTCACTCTCATCCAGCTCCCTGGGAGTCACAGGAATAGTAGAATATTGGAGCTAGAAGGGAAGGCAGGCATCCTAACTGTTTCTGCCTTTGACTAATGAGGAAGCTGAGATGTGGGGGCACTGTGCAAGGTCACACAGCCACACAGCTAGCTAGTGACAGGGATTCATTGTTGGCCAGTCAGCCTTTCTTGAATTCCCTCTATTTGCTGCCCCTGTCATAGTACTATGGGATGGAAAACTTCACTCAGTGAAGTCAAAACACAGGAGGGGAACGGCTAGTGGTTCCCTGGAGGCATCTCTACCGCCCATCAAAATGGCGGCAGTGTCACATACGACGCCTGCACACAGAGCAGACGAGGGGCACTGTGCAGGTAATTCAAGGCAGTGTTTCTCAAGCCAGCAAGCCTGGGTCAAAACCCAGCAGCTCTCCCCAGACCTAGTAAACCTCTTGTCCCTCTATGGCTCAGTCTCTACATCTAAGACACAAGCATCTTGACATTCCCTGTCTCTTAAGTCATCGCTAGGAGTAAACGAGAAAACACCCATGTGAAGTGCCTGGTGTACAGTAAAGGTGCACTAATCCTAGGTACTCGTTTATTGTACATTCAGTAAATATTTGTTGCATGTCTGCTACGCAAATGTCACTGTTCTAGGCTCTTGAAAATCATTAGTGAGTAATACAGACAAAAGAAATCCCTGTCTCACTGAGCTTACTTTCCAGTGGAATGAATATAGATGTGTGTGTGTGTGTGTGTATAAATGAATATATATAAACACAAACACTTAAATATATATGTATATACACATACATGCATTATATATATATTTAAATGTTTGTTGAATGGGCGGAGGAACTCATTGCCAATATGCTATGTTTACGTTACCAGGCTCCTTCTCTAAGACTGAGAAGTTTCCTGTTTACAGGGTGTGATGCTATAAATACGCAGGCCTGTCTTGTATGTGGGAACTCCCGGTTTCCTT